AAAACTTTGAGTTTAGTTCCTTATGTATACTGGGGGCACAGTCAAAATGTATTTATTGTAATTATTATGTAACCCTTGAATTGTAATTATAAAGAAAAATAAAAATCTCAAGGACCTCCCCCCACCAACTCCTTATGCAAAAGCAAAAGTCAAGCCTGGAGGCTGAGTCATGCAACAGCCTTTTGCAAATGAATAGCTGTTACCACCATTTCGCAACAGCCAGATCCCTGGAAAGGTAAAAGGCCTGCAGAAGACAGGCCCCCACAGGAAATTCTTTGCTGGCTTCCCATAAACAAGGACAAGCAAATTATAACTTTGGGTCTGCAGGCTAACTCTAGCTCCTGAAACTAAAGTCTGTTTGATTCCACACAAATAAATGTTGACTCTAAGTTTCTCTTCCCAGGTGCAGAACAGAAACAAGATCAAACATTCTTCCACCTACCCAGGGACATCAGCCTAATGGATGCTTCCTTCCCTCCTTTTTTCTCTTCTAACACTCACCTGATCTTATATAAAATGTAGATTTCCTGGGCCTCACAAGAATATAACCATTTACCTTACCCTCTCTGTTTTTCTGTAAGCCTTCCCTTTTAAATACCAAAGTTCCCAAATTCCCCTTTGGAAAAAGTCACAGATTTGTCTGTGGTTTGTGTTTTTTCCGGGGCGTGTCCTCAAACTTTGGCTTAATAAACCTCCATTAGTTGAGATCTTTGCCTCAGTAACTTATGCTGAATGGTCATAATTATTGTTAAGAGTGCCTGTCCTATTACAAGATGACTCTAGTACTTTGGCTGAGCTTTGTGTGACCATCTGTATCTTGTGTAAATGATAACCCCTCCAGGCATTCTCTGTTACATCACTCTTTTATACCCTCCATAGGGATGTCTGAAATTAGCTTATTTGTTACTTACTGGGGGCAGGAGGGGAGCAGACAGGGAGGGTGGACATGGGTGTTGGGGAGCAGATATTCACATATTAATAATCGTGTTGCCAGTTTTGAGGGTAATTTGGCAATATCTATCATCACTTAAAATGTGCATTCACTCTAACTCAGAAATTTCATTTCCTGGGAAGACTTGCTTATCAGTATATGGATAATCCTTCCATAGTGGATGATCCTTCACAGATGCACGGGTATGGACTTCAGGTCATGCCTGTGTGAACAAAAATAAAGTCTTAAGGTTGCCCCCCAACTGGCTGGCTGAATGGCCAAGGGGATATCCTAAAACTAAATTGCTTGCCACAAAGAGGGAGGTCAAGACATGCCTCATCATTCCCCTGTCCCTTCTTGGGGACATCCTTTGTAACTCATTAATGGGCCTAAGGCTATGCAAGACAAACTTGCAGGTCCTCAATTTACACAACAAATGTAAGTCAGGTGGCTTGTCTCTGATAAACAGAGTTCCTTATCTTAAAACATTCCAACCCTTTAGACAAAGCTTCCTGTCTTCAACCAATTACAAGTCAAAGAATCTTTAAACCTACCTATAACCTGTAAGCCCTGCCCCCCTTCAAGATGGCCCACCTTTCAGGCCAAACCAATACATGCCTTCCATGTATTGATTTATGATTCACCTGTAACCCCTCTCTCTCTGAAATGTATAAAACCAAAGTGTAAGCCAACCACAGTGAGTCCACTTGCTCAAGGCTTCTTGGGGGTGGCTCTGGGTCGTGGTCCTCAAATCTGGCTCGGAATAAATCTCTTTAAAATTATTTTACAGAGTTTGGCTTCTTTTCCATCCATACCTGTATTATGACCTGGGGATGATGCAGTTTGCCAACAGGATAATAAGAAAAAAATATGCTGGCAATGAGCCAGTGAGGGGCGAGGTTTGCAGGCTCCATGGTGAAGCAAGCCCCTTCCGTGTGGGCACAATGTAAGCTATTTGGAAACATGCTGGAAACTTGCCAGAGGAG